CAAAATCATAAAAAAGTGAACAAGAACATTCAACTTAGATTTGAACCGTGTTCATCTGCGTGAGAACCAGCTATCTTATCGCCTGCTCTACGCATCACAAGTTAAAAGTATGTGGATTTATGATGATCATTTGAAACCAAATTATATAAATAAATTACATTTGACGGTTGTTATAATTGATCAAAGTTATAGTTGAATTGAGTATTGAATCTACTAGGTAGATATGATTGAGTTGACGGTCAAATTAATGTTGGAATAACTATAGGTTTCTTTCAAACAACAATATTTTTCCATGTGAAAGTAACTATTAGGATTGTTATCTTAACTTAACGAATTTGTTCTCCGTGTACAGTAAAAGTATGGACGACTGTCACCACAAAACTGAAAAAAGCTGTTCCAATCGAGGAAAGCGGTGCATTTTGACGGTTCGATTGGAACAAATTATGACAGACGTCCATACTTTTACTGTAGGGCTTTAGACTTTACAATCCAGCTTCTCACTCTTCTTAATGTTTCTGATGAATGCCCGTCCAACATTAGTGCATGGTGTTTGACGTATAGTTGCTATGTAAAGCTTTTTGACGTTTAAACGGCGCACACTACTGCACCATTTAAATCGAACGAGTGCGAGCAAGCGGGAAACAGATTAGTGGGAAAACAAACCGTCCATTCATCCATGTGTGCTAGATGGAGAAAGACGATTAAACGTCAAAAAGGTCTATTCATAGTTCGGATAGAATTTCGATCTATCAAAAAGCGGAACCAATTCAATGTATTGTAGACCAACAATTGAAAAGGCACTATCAACTTTTATAAACAAAACGTTGATTATTCTTTCCTCGCCAATCGAACGCAAATTACCGGCATCATCGGATAGGGGTAACTTTCCTCAACCCAAAGATGGTGTTAGTTTGCGTAGGCGAGCCTTGAGTAACGAGAAAAGGGTTTGCAAAGTTTTTTTTTCGTAATAGTTGGTCGTGATTTGCTCGATTGGTTCCGCTATTTGACAGCTCTATTGGTTCCCGAGATTGTATCCGCCAGACTATGAATATAGCGACTATAGTTTGACGGGGTTGACCAATGATGCCAGGATTGCAGAATGATTTTTCTTTTTTAATTGTAATTTGATTCGGAGTTCCTACCGCAGTTTAGCACCTTGTAACTCATTTTTGCTTAACACAATAAAAACAACCATAAACAAACAAGAATATCCTTTGCTTAAAGCACGCCGTGGACCCTTTTTTCCAACTTTCCTTTCGCAAATATAAACAATCAACAACGCCATTTACGTCAACAGTGATTCCGCCATCACGGCCAGTCAGATTGATGTGATCCCTCTGGGACGGGACTTGACAATCGGGTAGCGATTTCGTGCCAATTTTCTGTCAAATCCGAGCCAGTTACTGATTGGTCGATTTGACAGTAGCAATCGTGGAATAAAAAGGACAGAGGGATCACATCAATCTGACTGGCCGTGATGCCGGAATCACTGTTGACGTCAATGGCGTTGTTAATTGTTTATATTTGCGAAAGGAAAGTTGGAAAATAGGGTCCACGGCGTGCTTTAAGCGATGGATATTCTTGTTTGTTTATGGTTGTGCCTCGTCAAACACTATAGATACTATAGATTCCATAGATAAGCGGATGCACAAAAAGATGTTTTAGCAACCATGAAAAATAAATGATCTTACTGGCATCTGTGAAATACGTTCATGCCATCATAAAGCTCTTCGTTGTGCAGTTTTGTTTTGTTTCGTGCGCAAAAGTTCAAAATGAAGTGCAAAGCAAATCTTTGCAACAATGAATCGAGGAATAGTTTGCTTTATCTATCCTTCTTCCGTTGTCCGCGAAATAAATCGGAATGTGGAGTGTGGAAAGCGTTTTGTGTTAATAATATTACAATACTTCTCCCTCAAACAACACCACGATGACGTCATGCTCGTTTGGCTACACTAACTGACAGTTCGTTTGGCTACATTATACTTTGCCTCCGCTTATCTATGGAATCTACAGTATCTATAGTCAAACACCTTGCACTAATTTTCGACGGACATTAAAAAAAAAACATTATAGCTGGGTTTAGACTAGGCAAGTCAAATGATCAACTCAGTTGAATTCAATTGGCTTGAAAAGTTGAGCCTGGTTCAACTTTGTTCAATTCAAGTGAGTTGATCAAGTCAGTTGAATGGCATGGTTTACACGTTAAATTCACGTTCAAGTCAGTTGAATTCTAGAGTCAAACTAGAGTCAAACAGTGCCAATAAGTGTGCCCAGGTCTTGTAATGAACTATAAAAAAATATTCCGAGTTAGTATAAAGTGCATGTAGGGGAATGTACGTATTCTCGGCAACCTAAGCAGCGACCTTCTTTCCATAGCCTTTTTCTCCAAGGAACGCACGCATATGCAGTATTGGTTTGTTTACAATCTTTTGCTGCCAGCTGCTCTAACAATTTCAGTCGAAAGAATTGTCAAAAACTGTTTTGAAACGCTTTTACAAAGCTCCAATCTTCTCTAGTGAGAGCGAGTATTGTCGGCAACCAGTTTTTCTTCGGCAACCGTTCCATTTGAGCTGCATGTAAATCTGCTGTTCTATTATCGGCAACTCGAAATCAGCTACAATTTATAGTGCGTGTGTTGAAATTCAAGAAAAACTTGCTAGATTGCTTTTTCTCAGTGGTAAATATATAGTTTAATTGAAGCTGAAAGCATAAAGAATCGTTTGCATGCATTCAGCGAAGTTTTTTCGTAAGAAAATCCAGTGAAAATAGTGTTTCAATTTGTGTTGCCGAAAATAGTCTATCATGCCGAAGCCGTCATTTCCCCTATTTGATCAAATTCCACTTAACGATGCTTCATTTGCCTTAACGGGTAAACGTTCCCAGATCAACTTCGACTCCTATACAGTTTTTCCAAATATGAGTAAATTTCGTATGGAAAGAAAATGCTCTGAGTCAATTGACCACTTTGTCAAGCAGTTTTGGCGTGACTTTCTACCAGCGATTTCACAAAACTGGACCAACTAATTTCAATTTTTTTATGAAACGCACAAATGTTGGCAACTTTTCTCGAGGTTCTAGAAGAAAAAATCTCAAAATAATGTTTTATTTCAAAGTTCGAGTGGTAGTAAACGTCATTTTAAGTGCTCGAATAAAGTGGTTAATTGAATTCAGTCGCTGAGTTATTGCAGTTGGTCGTGTTCCACAATAACTGAGCGAGCTTGTGAGAGATATTGAGTGCATATTTAATTTGAATCTTTCACTGTTGTACTAGAGTCGGTGTATAATGAGTCACGCCAAGAGTGAAGCCAAGTCTACCTATTGAACTGTCAAACCGGCTACCTATCGTGCAAAGTAAACAAGCATTACGATGCTATGAAAGGTCCACCAAAGGTATTGCAATTAAATATTAAATATAACCGAAGAAATGATTATATACACGCAGTGAGCATTACATTTGTCATGCGATACGTTTTGTAATGATCAGAAATGACAATTTCTACTATTTTTCCTTAAGATAATTCGACAAAATCACTGATATAATGATTTACTACAGCCGTTAATTTTTTTCCTCGCTAGAAGTCATTTGAAGTTGATGCAGAAGTCCTCTGTTGCCAAGTTAAAAGAAAGGGAATCTTTCGAAAACCGTGATGCGAGTTCAACTGTTTTTCTCTTGGCGTGACTCATTATACACCGACTCTATGTTGTACATCTGTTATATTTCTCAAAATAAACGAAATCAAAAAGTTTCAAAAAATCTAGAAATGTCTTTATCGTTCTAAATTGCTGCTATTTTTCCATGAGCATTTGAAATTTTCTAGAAGAACAACATCTCTTCACTCGTTAAATCAATGTTTTCGTGGTGTTCTAAGGGGTTTTGAATAAAAGTTGTTGAATATTCATAACCGGGCAATTGTTTAGGTTTGAACTGGAAAAAAGTCGGGAATTCCAAAATGCAAATTTAGTAGCCAAGGAAAACAACATTTTGTATGGCAGCAACTCTGAAAAACACGATTCTGAGGTAGCTCGATTTTTCATAGTCATAGCTGAACCAATATTTCTAATGCATCGAAGTTTAGTGAAACCCAACACTTACATATTTTTTTCACATTCCTTCGGGATTTTTTCTCACGGCTTTCTAGACGCTTTTTCTTTGTGCATTATGACATACTATCATCAATAGTGGACATCAAAATAAGAACTATAGTTGATTTAGTAAAGCTAAACGATGGAAAATGTTATGACAAACAACTTAACTCATGAAAATATATGCCTATTGTTGATCGTTATTTTGTTATTCATGATTTTCTGGTGAAAGGATAGTCATATTTTTGCATATTTTTTTATATATTTGTAATGTCATACAGAAATGTTCCATAAATAAGAGTTACTTAGTATGTTCTACAATGAAAAATGTAATACAAATATTATGTTTGTTCCAAGAAAACCGTTCATCTGATTTGCAAAACTCTCTGTCATTAAATTACACCATAAAATCTCAATCACAGATCTAATTAACTAACCAAACCATTCAACACTTATTTATCTTCTCTTTATTTACCAGATAAATAAGTCAACACCGTATAGCGTAAAGCGTAAATCTGCCCTGCCTTTTTGCGAGGGGAACCAAACGTCTTCGCCATTGGTCAGATAGAACGAAATGATTGCTATAAATGTGATTTCGTTCCACGACGACATTCAATGCATTGAACTGATAAGAGAAAAAAGTGTCCGGCAGCGCAGAATACTAGTAGAGATGCTGAACTTCCCCTTCATTCAGCGATAACCAAGCATTTCTTTTATTAGATGTTAAGTCAATATTCCAAAATAAATGCTCTCGCAGATTTTGTTTCAATTAATTGCCTTTATTTATGTTGTTATCATGTCTTCGGCGCTTATCTGGATCCAGCAAATATAACTAAGCATGTGCTTTGCTTTAAGCTATTGGCTAAATTTTCTTTTCTTTTTTTTTTAATTCCAAACCCGCAACTTGTTCGATCCAGATATGGGCCAAGGGCGACCGTTCCGAGTTGTGCAAATTCCGAAAGTCTCGCCAAAAGCAACGACTGGCAGCACCGGCGACCTGGACTTCGACGAAAGCCTGATCAAAGTGATCGCTGAGCAAACGGCGGAGAGGATCAGTGGTGGTGGTAGCCAGTAGATTTGGCGGTAGTGCAAAATGACTGTTTCTATTGTTTTTAATTTCAGAACCAGAGGTATAAAAGCGCATTTTTCAGATTTGGGAGGGCCGACTTATTTTCGAATTCGCGGATTCACGTGCAAGTAAATGTTTCTATGATATGAAAATTGTTTGTTTTACAGTTTCAAGGAAAGAAATTTCTTTTCGTTCTGTTTTATTTAAAATGAAAGCCACGCTGTAGTCGAATAAGTTTATTTTACTCGGGTTGTTCACTGTAAGATTTATGTTTGGAATAGTTTACTGTTTTCTTTGTTTTTGTCGACTTGACGAGATTTTTTAAGATGTAATTGTACAGTACACGAAAGCCATTATTTTTGAAGGTGTTAGGTAAAAAAAAGTCCTCCAAAACTTGTCGGCGGAATGTGAGAGTTGTTGTAGGTTTTTGTTTTTGTTCTCTTGTGTATGTGTAGATTTGTAGCAATTCTAGGTTTCTGTATATTTGCAGTCTGCTTCTTTGTTTTGTGTAGATTATTTCTTTCTTGTTGTTTGCTGCGTCTAGCCTGTTCATTTTGGGTGGTGGAAATCTAAGTTCTTATTTATTATATGATTAGAAATATGCCTGAGCCTCTCTCAATATCAAGTGGCAGTGTATCGGTTTCTGTTTGTGTTCGATCATTCAGTTCCAGTTTATATTTGTATAACGATCTGTATAAGAACTAATGAGCGCTTCAGTTATTGGAATTCCATTTTGTGTTTTCCTGTCTTTATTATTTTTTATTTAGTTTATTCTGAATTATCTATAAGCCGCATCGAAGCTAAACAGATTCGCGATTAATATGTAAATTTGATTTATTTCCGTCCTTTTTCCCTTTTATCACCTATCCATTCCGGACAAATCCTGACGAAGGGACATGCCTTCACTGTTTTTTTGCCAACAAATCAATCGATCCTGAACGATTCGATGTTTGCGATATTTTCTATTGGCATATTGATCTTTATCTTCAGCTATGCTTTCACGGTGTGAGGAATTTCAATAATGTTTTATAATTGTCTTCAATTCAATAGCCTAGTATTGTTTTGGACCACATAGTGATATTTTATATATATTTTCGTTTTCTGATCTTTTTTTTTTCTTCTTTTTTAAATCGTTTGTAAGGCGTTGAATTTGTTTGCTTTTGCTTCCGAAAAAGCATCTCTGTGAGTGATGCTGCGCGACAATGAAAACCGGACAAGGGAAATCACGTTCTTCTATTAGGTGGGTTGTAGCTTTTGGGTGAACTTGATTTTCGGTTTTCTGTTTATAAGGAACATGAAGGCTTACGAAAAAGCAGGTGCTTATGGATAGTCACAGGTAGAGCAAGAAGGTGGAATATCACAGATAGTAATGAGAATTCGAGAAGGGCCGTAAATGGAATGTTGTTGATTGGGTTGATAAATGCTAAAAAACGAACGATTTTCTTAAGTTTTGACTCTGCTATTTTTACGAGATATTTTTTTTTCTAGATAGCTAATAAGAATACTTATTTAATTTCAGAAAATGATAATAATTTAGATATTGATTTTAAGAGAAAACTATTGTCCAAAAATCGCCACTAGATATTGATAATGTTGTCTCTATCGGATGCTAGATTTTAGCTATTTCGTAATTTAGAAATCAATAGTTTCGTTATATTTGATTTATTGGAGAATTCCGATCATAGTTGTACAATGATTTTTCGAGGTTAGCTCTTAATTCTTCTTCCTTTTCTTGGGTATATACGGTATAATTTTCCCAATTGGAGCTTTGCGTCTACCCTCAAATTTAGCCTGTACCTTCTCAGCATTCGTATATTGGGCACCCTCCCATCACAACCAGAACACCATAAATCCGAAGGGCAGCCTTAAAGCTGTCAGGCCCAGATGACGTCGTGTATGCAATGTTAAAAATTCTACCACCACGAAGCAAGATAACACTCCTTAACCTTCTCAATAGGGAATGGTTGGGATATACCATTCCAAAGGTTTGGAGGCACAGCCTGGTCGTCCCAATCTCGAATCAGAGCACCTCGGGTCACGAGCCCATGCATGTAGCGTCAGCAAGGTGTCAGGATCGTAACGGCTACCTTTACCACCGCCAGTACGCCTTCCTCCCCGGACATGGTACTGGTACCTACTTCGCTAATCTGAATCAGGCAGTGTTGAATGTTGCACATCACGGGAGCAAAGTGCTATCTGATCACAATGAAAATGATCTGACTCATAGCAATATTTCATCTAGGGGAAATGGCTCTAATGTTAACCTATGGCTCTAAGATTGGGCACATCGCTAAAAATCTGCTATTAATCAATTTTATCTAAATGAACGCGTCATTTGGACGGTACAAATGGATATTTTTGGTTGCTATTGAAAATTTAGTCGATTGCTGAATTTATGTATGGGCCCAAATTAGGGGCATTTAGGCCGACATTACATCCATTTCCCCTACGTTCACAATTTTTGCACTGCTTTTGAACTTGAAGTTCTTCCTGGAACGGCGTTCTTGAACCAATATACTACTTGAAGAGGCTAACAGCCGTTTCTTCTTGGGATTATTTGAAGACTTCTTAGACACTTAGTGTTACGAACTGTGGCAAGTTCAAAATTTGACTATAGAGTAGTGCATAGAGTGTAAGCTCTCTAAAATCCAATTATCTGTTTCTGTGCATTTTGTTTAAAGCGATCTGCAAGCTTTAGGTGCGAAGTGCTTTAAGACCTGGTGGGAACTCAGATCTAACTTTATTAGGCTGCACTATATGAATTCAATCATGTCTCAAACGTTTTTCCTGTATCTAATGCATTGTTTGTCTGATAATGATACACCCCTTACCTCTCCTCTTACACCGTAACAAATGCCATTATATGTTACGTTTGTCTGTTCAACCTTCCACAAAAGATTGACACTCGGAGCATATGAATTGCTCACATCGAGCTCTTGAATTGGAATGACAGCGAAAAATAACAGGAGTGACCAGGTCAGATAATCCAACGACTACTTTGATTTCACCCCCTCTCGCTTGGATAGTTCCAGCCAGGGCTGGCATTTTCAATGAAAGATCTCACGCGATATTTACAGAGATACTTCTGTCACTATCATTGGATGAGAAAACGATGATAGAGATTTTCTTCAAAATCTCATCGATTTTTTTGTCATGACAGAACGTGACAGTGTTGTGATCATCGTAATTACTAGCTCATTTAATGCTATTAAAGTTACTTATACCGAGGAAATCTTAATAATGTATTCACTCTACCGATTACATACGGTTCTTTGCTTAAATTCATCTAAATCAGTAAGAAATGTTGATGTCAAAACCACATAAAAATTATTCTCATGAGTGCTTGAGTGCTTGAAAAATGACAAGAAAGCTAGTGATAGGTAGTTTCGTCTCGTGATAGTGAGAGGATCTGTTTTCTCATCGTCACATGACGGCCGTGATATTTACCAGCTCTGGTCCCAGCATCGTCCAAAGTTCAACGTCCAACGATTTAGTGAAGAAGTCAGCCAACTGGTTGTTGCTGGCAATCGGCTCCACCAATAGCTTACCAGCAGCGACATGATCACTAAGAAAATGGTGTCTAATGTCGATGTGTTGGTCTCTCTTACTCTCCAAGTTCTTGGTCATAACAATCGTCAAGCAACACTCCATCGATCCTTTAAGTATCGTACAACCCGTTTCAAAGCTGTCCAATGTTCCCAGACAACCAGAATACACGTATATTCAAAGTTGTTTTCGTGATATACAAACATATATACAAACAAACAAATCGTACAGAATGCAAAGAAATGGCTTTTACGTACAAACGTGGAGGCCATATACGTGCAAATTTTAATTTAATTTTAAACGAGTTGATTTAACATCATATACGATTTAATCTGTAATAACAAATTCACTTTGAAAAGTCTTACGATGTAATCCGGTTTGATTCGTGATACAGTACGACGGAAAAATGAGTCATCGCAAATAGGTCGGAAATTTGCATTCTATACGATTTAACATAAATATAATGCGATGCATGCCATTCTTATATGCGATTTTGACTTAAACTGTAGCAATTTACGATACTGTCTGCACATTGTTATACGACTTCTGGTTGTCTGGGTTGTTGTCTAGGTTGAAGTTGGAATCTCCCCAGATATCCGATAGGAAAGCAAATGTCCGGCCTTGTGGACATCATCACGTACATCAGGCTTCCCAATAATTCAAGGTACGGTTCTTGAACACCTTCGGCCACTTGACGATCCAATTTCAATCCGTTCGCCATTGGCGTCCTTGTTGCATTGCACTCCGCCATGCCGAACTTCTGCAAGATCTTTTCCATGCTGGTTTCGTGAGACAGCATCATTCTACCATTTTGTTGATCGTATCGTATCTTCATCCCAAGAAAGTGAGTCAACTCTCCACCATCTTTGGCCACATCAATAACGAAAGGTTGTTTGAGCTTCCGACTGCATGCAATCTAAACTGTTAACCAGATGGTCACTACATCCGGAGTGCACGTAGAAAATGGTTTGCTTGTTCTGCACCTTCGGTTGCTTCTGGTTCACCTTGAACGAAACTGCTTTGCTTCCAACCACTGCGTTGACGTTATCATCGGTCTTCTTCACACGACAATCTTTCATCATGTGGCCAGTTTCCCACATCGATGACACTTTCCGTTGAACTTTCGTTGCTTCTTATTTCTGCCTCCAACAAACGCTGCTGCCTTGTCTTCGCTCGAATCTTCCATCCTATCAAACCGCTTGGATTTTTCAGCCAGTAACCGCTGTTTCACAGTCTCCAATGTGAGGTCGTTCTCGTTGATAATACTAGAGCCGTTACAAGGGAGTCATAGCTATCGGGAAGTGTGAGAAATAATTGCGATACCATGTCGTCATCTTCGAGCTTTGCGCCTGCCGATGATATCGTCGAACTGTTGAAAATGATGCCGCATCGAAGTTCCTTCTTTCATACGGAGCCTGGCCAACTGCTTCCGCAACAGGGTCTGACTTACTACAGACTTCTTCGCATATGTATCTTCCAGTGCCTTCCACATTTCTCGAGCAGTCTCCTTGTCCCGTACTATGCCTAGACATTC